CTGGCTGTCCAACATCTGTATCCAGATAAACTACACTTTTGTATCTGCCAACCAGAAGCAATCATATTATCATTGAGTGACATTTATAAAAATATTCACTCAATACAAAATAAGTTATGTGAAGTTTGAACTTTTCCAATATCACAACAGTTTAATACATCTAGGAAAAAAACAAAAAAAAAAAAAAAAAAACATTCAATGCAGAAGTAACTAATGGTTGCTCCAAAGTCTACCAAGAAACCCAAGCAAAAACCAATTAATACAAGTTTGCCAGCAAACACAACAAAAATGCCTTGTTTTAAGTTGCAGACTATTTTGAGAAGCAATGGCTTTTTTTTCTTTTTTTTTTTTTTTTATCAGTATGCATGCTCAAGTTCAAGGGGACACAAACATATGTTAACCTCTTTTGCTAAAAATTCTAAGAAGAATCCTTAAAGAGAAGTAAACTCTGCAGGAAGAATATCAGCATGAGCTCAAATCCAGTTACCAATTTGATTGACAAAAACCAATCAGCAACAAAACTGCACTACTAAAAACTAAAACATAAATTATGTAAATGATGTTCAGTTACAAAGGTTCATTACATAAACTCATACAATCCGAAATATTATTGTTCCATACAAAAGCTAGGAGGTTCATGTAAGACCCTAGTTGCATTCCAACTTTACCAACAAAGTATTCAAGTTCACACAGTACCCAAAGAATACTCCGTAGCAAAACCAGGAATTAAGCAGGCACAAAATGAAACAAAAAATCTAGATAAATCTTCAACTGCCCAAAAAATGCCATATAATTTCAAGAGGGAAAAGGTAAACTTATGAGAACTGACATGAAATTATTTGCCAATATACAAATTAGAGAGGAATCTAACCTGGGGAGGAAAGTGTTAAGGAGGTAACGAGAGAAAGTGGTTTTGCCACTGTTCTTAGCGCCGCAGATGAATACAACAGGAGGCAGTGATCTGGTAAAACTTTTTGCTATGGTGTCTGCAGCAGCTGACCATTCTTCAGAAATCTCTATTCCTGGTGATGGGGTCTTTCCTGTTGGAGCAAAAGCCGCCATTTCTTCTTCTTGTCTCAAACTGTTTAGTGTATGAGTCTACACCAGTGGCGAAATCAGAATTTTTTAAAACTAAGTATGATTACAAGAGATTTCATTGAATATGGGATAAAATGAATTAATCACATTAATCAAACTCCAATACTACAGTCCAAAAAACCAATATCTAAACTTTTTTTCATTCATCTTTCATGCTATATGAACTTCCCAAATCATTACAAATTGACAATCACTTTATTATCATTTGAAACATTACAAATTTTGGAAAAATATCTAACCTTTTTTGTTCTGCAATTAAAACAAATGAATTGAATATCCGACTAATACCAAATTCACTCAATTAAAAAGTATCAATTTACCATCATTATAGCAACTGATCAACAATTAATTAAATAAGCATTAATCTTAAAAACAAGAAAAACATCACATTAATCACGATTAAGAACTAGGTTATGAGCTTAAAAAAAAACAATTAGCATTGATACAAACTAAAAAAAGTTCAAACATTAAACATATAACAGCAAAAACCAGATAAAATTAGTAAAATTAGAGCAACAAGTAACATACAATAAGAAATTACATAAAAAATTAAGAAAATTGGCAATTGAGAAATTGATTTACCTGCTACTACTATGAGTATGAATGTGAGTGAAAAAGTAAGTTTACGAATTAGGAATGAAAATCAAATGTAAAATCCCATTTATAATGGATGAAGAAAGAGTAGAGATAGTACAATAGCAGGATTTTTTGGTTTGGAGAATCCAGATTTTGACATGTTGAACAAATTTTCACAAACAAGGGGGAAAAACAACAAATAGGTAGTTTTTCCAAAAAAAAAAAAAAAAACCTAATGAATTTAAATAAGACTATCTAGTTAACGTTTTAAAGATAATTAAATAAGCGTTTGTAGTCCAACGTTTAGGATAATTGTCCTCCAAGCAATAGACCCGGGGTTCGACTCCCGGAAAACGCATTTTTAAAGTTTTTTTTTAGTTTTTTTAATTTTATTTTTTATTATTTATTATAATTTTGGGAAATATAGTCTTATTAGGTAAAATTATAAAATTGCTTGTACAATTAGAGTTTGTTTAATTACTTAAGGTGTATAGAATTATTTATTTTAAAAAAATACATACGTGGCACTATTTTATGTTCGTAATTATAGATCGAGTATAATAAACATTTACATTTAATAATAAAATATTCGTCCTAAATAATATATGAATTGAAGTACACAATAACATAACACAATCGATCTTCAAACTCCGCCAACCACCAACAGCTAGCCCATCTTATGCTATTACACATCTTGGTAAATTATATATATTCTTAAGTAGATGGTACAAGCTAAGGCACAACATGACAATAAACACCTTGGACACTTTAATTTCAATTATATATAAGTCAAACCTTTCCTTTTCAAGTGGGAACCATTTTTACCCCCTTAAATAATACACATATCATGGGTCCATAGAAGAAGTTTGCTTAAAACTTATTTAGCTATAATTAGGACCAATTAAAATGTAGCATTTATCAAATGCTTCTTGAATATTACTTGTATTACGAATAGTACTTAGAATTGATGGGATGATTAAGACATATTAGCTTCCAATTTGGTGTTAGTGGCAAAGATATTAATTCTTTACTTGTTCAAACACACATTATGGAATTGATCCAATTCATTATGCCTATTGACAACGACTCAACCCTATTAGCTTTGAGTCTTCCTTCTACTCGTACCTAACAAGTCAATTGGTTAGTCATTGAAGGAACATTCATTTGATCAACGCTTTACTTTTCCCTCTCCTCAAATTAATCGAGCTTACCATATTATGCAAATATATAAATTTCTTTAATCGATCTATGATAATAAAAGTTATCACATTAATAGGCTCAATCTCTTGTAATTTAGAATATGATCAAAACACTCTCTTATATTTTATTTTATTTAAGGGACGCATATAAGAAAATACAATCACAAAACATTGGTAATTAATTTTTTTAACACATGTATGTGAAAAAAAAATAAAAAAATTAATGAAACTATAAACTCTCAACCTAGCTAATTTTAAAGTTTTTCTTTTGCCTAGCAATTATTTAATTTAGTATTGTTAATTGCCATAATATTACTCTAAGAGGAAGCTAGGTATTGAATATATAAACCATTGCTAAGTAATGTATAACTTGGTGTTGACCTTGCCGTCCATGCATGTCATATTATGATGATATAGTGATATACTGATATGTGCATAGTACGTAATTGACTATTTCTATTTTTGTAGGTACTCTAAATTACTACGGAGTACTTCGTATAACATTAATTAGTCAAATATTGTAATTGACTTGGGGTCTGTTCATATTTACTAGCTAAACTGAACTAAACTGAACTGAATAAAACTAAAATTAATATTTTATGAGAGAAGGAAATTAGGAGCTAAAGTAAACAGACCCTTGGTTATTCATAAAAACAATCCTCTTTAGCTTGATGAATGAAATAATTGAAACGTTGTGTTCTCATAAATGTTGAATCAAGAATGGCTGGATTGAATTTAATCTAATGTCGATTGTTTAGGACATAGAATTCCGTAAAACACTACAAATAATTAAGATTTGGGTAAATACAAGTTGATGGTTTTGGGTGTAATATCCAAATTAGTCACCAATTCTTAGAATTAATTGTCTTTCTTGACTAAGCTAGGACTAGTTATCCTACAACTCAATAGAGATTGTGTTTATATCTTCATATTTCTTTTGTTCATATTAACCTTTCATTCATTTGCATGCATGAGATGATGAGAACTCCATTTATGTAAGGCTCGTTTTTCTTGATACATGCATTTCGTTCATTACTTCAGAACATAATCTTGTCAACTCGCATTTATTTCATTCCAAGTACTACATTTTGTACTCCCTCCGAACCTCCGTCCCTTAATTAGATTCTTACTTCTAACATTTTTACTCACATAAAAGAGAAAAGTAAGAATCTAAATAAGGGACGGAGGGAGTATATATTTATTAACCTTTTAGTACGTAATTAAAGTAAATTTTGATTAATTAAACTTCTGTTTGAAGTACTTGTTCTAAATTAAAGCAACCAATAATAAATATAATGTTTTTAAGTAAATGTGAGAATAAACCATATATTAATACATATTCAATGTCAAACAAAGTTTTATAACATTATAACAATCACTTTAGTACGTGTTTTTGTACCACATGTTCTAACAATATACTTGGCTAGCTATATATGGAGCATGGACTCTATTCAATTGTGCTTGTGGCACATTCAATATGGTTCAACCATACGTGTTAAAATGACCTAATATATGAAGTATAATCTTGGGATATGATCGGGCTTTCTTACTTATGGGAGATTGGGAGGTATAGTAGGATTGAAGTAAAAATGTAAAATATAAAGCAAAGTAAAAAAAAAAATCAAAATAAATAATTAGCTGATTCTAAATTTTGGTTAGAATAATTTTGATAGAATTGTTGGGAGATGAAAAGAAATAATTTAAAGAAAATATCGTTTTTTAAAAAAAAAAATTATTAAACTTTCACATTTGACACTTCAAGTTCAATAGAAATGTATGAAAAAATGATAAAATAAAGTCATTCAATTAATTTCCTTTTTTTTTTGAAAGGGAATTAATTTCCTTTTAATTCCCTTACAACAATTATTAACCAATCAAATTATTCCACCTATTAACTCGTATCACATCAAATATGTAAACAAAGAAAATTCCTTTTTCCACTCCATTCTTTTTTTGTTTTCTTTTCCATTAACCATTAAAATCAAATTAACCTTTGTAATCTCATACGAGTACAAAATTACAAAGTACTCCTATTACTTATTTTAGTGCGAGTCTCCCCTAATCGAAATAAATCAATCAACTCTAATAGGGTATTTTCAATACATAAGTCCCGTCTACACATATATTATACTTTATGAACTTTCCAGTTGCTACCCATCCCGTCAAAAAAAATAAAATAAAAATTCCTTCCCACCCATGTAATCCTAACTATTAGAGACACAATATTCCCAATGTTCCATTTCTAAAATATTTTATTATAGATTTGGGTCACAATTAGAGACAATGGGTAAAAACTAGCAAAATTTTCTTCTGATTTCATAAAATTGACTTTTAATCTCAAAAGGTCATCATATACTACCACACCTCTTCCTCTTTCTCCTGCCCTTTTTCGCACAAAATTCCCACACAATAAAAACAAACCCAATTTATTTATTTATTTTTTTAACACAAATAAAATTCTGGGGGTTGCTTCCATTGGATCTTCCTGAAACCCGGAGATCAGATCACACCAGCAGAAAAGAGGAGAGAGAAAACTAGCAAAAGATTACAACGAAAGAAGAAGAAGAAGAAGAAGTTTCACTGTAAATGGTTGTGCCCCCATTTCAAAACTCTTCACTATTTCTTCCCTACCCAACTGTTTTTTTCTCTCTCCTTTTTTCACACTATTAGCATTGTTAAACCCAAATTCCTGATTCAAAGGAAGAGGAGAGATTACTGCTCTTTGATCTGCTCATAGTTTGGGGAAATCCGCGGTTTTTTTGAGGTTGGTTTCGATTTACATTGCAACAAGATTTTAGATTTGGGTTTATTTTATTTCATTACTTTGATGTATGTATTTGCAGTTTGATTTTGTGAGAGTTGGTTTTCTGGTGAATTTGGTGATTTAATGTTGTGGGTATTTCAGAATTGCTGATAATTTGATTGCTTTCTGTATTAATTTTATTGGGTTTTGACAATTTTTTTGAAGGGATTAGTAATTACTTTGAGATGCCCACTTAAAAAGGGTGTAAGAGTTGTGTTTAGTACTAGGAGGGAGATTTGATTTGTATCGGAAATGAGACATTGTCAATAGGAGTTTTATGGAAATTTTGACTGAATCTTGTGTAACGGCTGGTATCCAAGACCTGGGATCGAATCGAATTTTTGTATACATCATTGCCCTTGTGCGGCTCCCTGGTCACCCGAAAATGAACAATATTGTGTGAAGGTTAGACAGATTTTGGGTTATTTGGGTTATTGGAGAATTTGGGAAATGGGAATCAGCTTTGTATAGTTGTGTTACTGCTCTGACTGCTCTCTAGAGATTTATCTCCTATGAAATAATGTTAATGATGTGCTGAAACAATTTTTCTACTAATTTCTACTGCTTTTAGGGATAAGAACGCGTACGTCTGCACCTCCTTGACATCTGCCAATGATGGGATTAATTGGGAGTATAATTGTTTGACCTGGGTGTATTAGCTGTTATAGCTTGGTGTATTGCTATGTGCTAATTGTGGTATACATCACATATCCAGATGTAGCAAGGTGGTTAGTAGGGGTTTATTTGGACCTGAAAAGAGTCTTTGACATGTTCTACGATTGCTAAGGTGTGAATTTGATTCAATTTGTGTAAAGAGTCTTACTATGAAGATATCTGTATAAGACTATAAGTGTATGAATTTGTTTTCTATGCTGCAAATAAATAAGTGAAGAATGCTACTCCGTAATAGATTTTCATAAAAGCTTGTGTAATGTCTTGAAATCTAACCTACCAATTAGCCAATGATCTGTTTTGCAATGTGTTGAAACCTAACCTACCAATTAGCCAATGATCTATTTATAATGTGTTGTATATTATTACCCGCATTGTCTTGCTATATAAACTCCTTGAAGAATATACTAATGATGCTGTAGCTTTATAATCATAGCGAGTGTTTTACCTTTGTGTATGGGCATAGTCAAGCTGGTGAGCCATTATTATGTTAACAAAGAGTAACCTGGAAATATACTCTTCCTAGCTCAGATTATTGTTTCAAAGAATTAGTAGCCTAGCCTAGGCATTTCTGCATGTTTTCAATGTGTCTCTGCAAAATGCCTGAACTTAATAGCAATTTCTCGGCAGTGATCTTGATTAATTTTAATTTTTCTCAAGCTAGAGGTTCAAAATTTTTCTGTTGGTAATTTATGGTCATTTACTCGTACTCTGACACTTGATTTTGAAATTAACTTGTTTGCAGGATTTTTGAATGTTAGTGTCTGGTCTGGATAAGTGGCCCATTGTATACCCAAACATACTGTTTTCTGGCAGCAGCACGTAATATATATGTTGCCAGGAGACAGATGAGTGTGCTCCCATATTTTTAGAAAACCATGGTCTTTAGCAAAATCTCAGAAATCATCTCATCTGCAACAAATCGTCCATCCATGCGGCATTCCTCATCCATCCCATACATCCAAGCTGGATTATCACCTCCAAAAGGTTCTGGCCATGGTTTTAGTTTTAGCAGCCCTGGGCATATGAACAACATGAGGCTGTCTTCATCATTACAAGATTTTTCTCAATATCGTCGATTAGATCCTGAAAATGGTGATCAAAATGGTGGGATTGATGTCATCAATGCAAAGCCTCCTCATTCATCCCGTAAAGATATATCCAGCCCTAGTTTCTCGAAGGATAAAGTGCCTCAAAGCAATCCCTATACACGTAAGAAGTGGGTTAGAATATTGACAATCCTTCTTTGTCTACTTTTCTTCGGTTTTCTTTTATTTATACTTGGTCAGTTTCTATATACTTTTTGGTCTGGTGGACCTTCCAAATTTTATGTTGTGCTTGATTGTGGGAGTACTGGGACTCGGGTATACATATATGAGGCATCTGTCGCTCACAAGAAAAGTGGTAATCTTCCCATTGTTTTGACATCATATTCTGGGGGAGTTAAGAAGCCAAAGGGACAGAGTGGACGGGCTTATAACCGTATGGAGACTGAGCCTGGGCTTGATAAATTGGTACGTAACTCAAGTGGTTTGAAGACTGCGATAAAGCCACTTCTACGGTGGGCTGAGAAGCAGATTCCAAAGAATTCACATAAGACTACTTCTCTTTTCCTTTATGCTACTGCTGGTGTTCGTAGACTGCCAAAACCTGACTCTGATTGGCTTCTTAATCATGCCTGGTCTGTTCTAAAAAGTTCCCCGTTTTTGTCTCAAAGGGAATGGATTAAGATTATCAGTGGTATGGAGGAAGCTTATTATGGCTGGATTGCTCTGAATTATGAAACAGGTGTCTTAGGGGCCATAGCAAAGACAGATACTTTTGGTGCCCTTGACTTAGGTGGTTCATCACTGCAAGTAACCTTTGAAAGTAAGGAACCTGTTCTGAACAAAACTAACTTAAACCTGAGCATTGGACCTGTGAACCATCATCTCAGTGCATATTCCCTTAATGGGTATGGATTAAATGATGCCTTTGACAAATCTGTTGTCCATCTTCTCAAAGGGATGCCAAAAGTGAAAATGGAGGACTTAGTTCATGGAAATGTTGAGATTAAGCATCCATGCTTACACTCTGGATATAAAAGTGAATATTTCTGCTCACTATGTGCTTCCCTGAACCAAGATGCTGGGAGTCCTCGTCATGGAGAGAAAGACCTTGGCAAAAGGGGTAAACCTGGAGTCCCTCTTCGGCTTGTTGGCTCTCCAAATTGGGGAGAGTGCAGTGCAGTTGCAAAGGTTGCTGTCAATTTGTCAGAATGGTCAAATCTTAGCCCTGGAATTGATTGTGATGTGCAACCATGCGCTCTTTCTGAAGAACTTCCCCATCCTAGCGGTCATTTTTATGCAATGTCTGGTTTTTTTGTTGTCTATCGGTTTTTTAACTTGAGTTCAGAAGCAACCCTTGATGATGTATTGGAAAAGGGACATCAGTTTTGTGGTAAAACTTGGGAAGATGCGTATAAAAGTGTTCCTCCACAGCCCTTTATCGAACAGTACTGCTTTAGGGCACCCTACATAGTTTCATTATTGAGGGAAGGCTTGCACATAACTGATGGTCAGGTCATGATTGGCTCTGGTGGTACCACTTGGACACAAGGAGTTGCTCTTGTTGAAGCTGGCAAGGCATTTGCAACAAGAACAGAGCTTCATACACTTCAGCTATTTGAGATGAAGATAGATCCTGTTGTGATTTTTGCTGTTCTGTTGATATCATCATTTTTGTTGGTTTGTGCATTGTCATGTGCTGGTAATTGCCTGCCTAGATTTTTCCGCAGAAATCAACTTCCTATTTTCAGGCATAATAGTGCGCCAGCATCAGTTCTCAATATTTCTTCACCTTTCCGGTTCCAGCGTTCAGGTAAGGTCCTGTTTTTTTATTTTTTATGATTTTATCTAAATTTCATATTGTAATGAACAGAACAATCATCACCAATATAACAGTTTGGCTTATTGACGATCTGCTTTGATTTTTTAGAGGATCTTTTTTTTGTTTTCTGAAACTGTCAGTCTGCTGAGAGATACTGCAGTTCTTTATATATGTATCCTCATACCTCTCTAATTAAGAGCAATACTTTGTATTTCAAATGTTGATACACTTTAGTATAGCTATCAAGTTTGTCTCTTTTCTGCCTGTGGGCTAGCTGTTACCTTAGGGTCGTAGTAGTCACAGATAGTCGCTGTTGCACTAGTTGATTTTTTTTGCCAAAAATACTATTAGGTTCTAAATAAATATATGATACAAAGACAAAGCTTTGGGTTTGCTTGTTTGCATGCATCTTTTGGTCAGTATTTGTAGTTTTCAATGCTGTGCTCGTTTCGTTAACTTTTGTCTTACCGATTGATGAGATAAGATATCTGTAATTTTTCAGGGGATGCAAGAGTAAAAATGCCACTGAGTCCAACTGCTGTTGGTGATCAAGAAAGGTCAATTGGTAATGGACATTGGATTGGCGGAAGCAACATTCAGCTTACTGATTCTTCTCTATATTCAGCAGTCAGTGGAGTTTCACATAGTCCTTCATCAGGTAGCTTAGGACAAATGCAATTTGACAACAATGGCATGGGTGCCATGTGGAGTCCTCATAGAAATCAGATGCGTCTCCAAAGTAGACGGTCAGCATCCAGAGAGGATCTGATGTCTTCTGTGGCTGATGGGGTGGTGAAGGTTTAGATCTCCAAAAATCCTGGTATGAGCTCGAAATATTTTTGTAGTTTTATTTTGATAAACCTAGTCTTCTACATGCTACAAGGTTTCGGAGTCAGTTAGCCTTGAATCCTATCTCTAATTGTTTCCTCTATACGCTACATGAGTTCAGTGTGTATTAGCTGCCAAACCTTATCTCCAATTTTGTCCTCCTAGTATATAATTTTTTTTTTTCCTTGGATCTTCCTTGTAAAGAATTTAATTAATGATGAAACCAATCTTGAAGAATTCTCGCCTGATTTTGTTTTCTTGTGTATTTTCCCTTAAATGTATCCTATACATTTCATTCTTATTCATAACTATTCCACTCTTTTTTTGTTGAGTTAATACAGAAAGCTCATATAGGGGTGAGAGAAAACCCTTCTTAACAGTTATCTTTGATATGTATTAATTAGACCAAGGTTTTTTTTTTTTTTTTGTTTTTTTAGTAGAATTTTCTGTACCAGAATGAAATTCACATTATAGTTCATCAATCTTACTATATGATCTGCCAAATAGACTATTCACTCATTATTCACATGCCTACAGAAATGTCTTTGACTGAGATGTTAGCCTGCTAATGAACTATTCATGATTGGAACACTGGAAATCGCCATTACGTTTATTCGAAGAGGAAAGTTCTCATTTCTAGAGAGGCACGTGCCCAAGCTATTCAAACTCCTAGAAAGAGTATTTGGAGAGCATCGAGTATCACTCCTCTGAACCAGCAAAGCCCCAACCTGTAAATTACACATTTTACCAGAGGCGGCAGCGCTTACAGAAGCTGAAAATGAGTTGAGATTGTCTTGCTAACACCAATTTCCCTGAATGTGCTATAATGTTATTTACTGTAATCATATAGGTGGCCCTGCTGGTCACCAATTGAATTTTGTTTAGCTGATAATTGATGTTGAAGAACTGATTACCCTGATGATTCTTTCTGGTAATCAGATGGGAGTAAATATAAAACCGATGTACTTGATATGGAAATGTGTCTGATAGACTGGTAGTTCTGCATCATGGAAGATGCACAAGAGCCTTAATGCTGGATTATGTTCATAATTTCTGCGCAAAATTTTAACATCTTAACCCAGTCATTGAAGAGAGCGCAGCAGAGATTTTCGTATAATTGCTGGAATTTAATTGATTAATTATATTATATGAACTATTTAAGTATTTATAGATTGTTTAATTACATTTACAATGATCAGGTGATTTCAAGACATTAGAAAGGTAAATAATTTTGGCATACCCATTGTGAGAGCATGGTTTTCAATGCTCCTCTCACATGGAGGTATGTCAAGATCAATTGTGAATCAATTTTTTATATACTAGTATTGATAAGGGTTACAATTATGACAATCTAGAGGTGTCAATTCAGATAACCGGGTGAAGTTTGGGTTGATCTATGACAGGTCGGGTCTGTTTGGGTCGGGTATATTCAGTTTAAAATTATCCTTTTAATTGCCTCGGCTCGAACTGGGTCAAGATATGTTGGCTTTGGATCGGGATTGGGTCGGGCCAACTTTAGCTCGGTTCATATTCAGTTCAAATAAATTTGGATCGGGTTTAAAACGGATTTTAACGGGTTAATCTCGAGTCTGATGACTCTGGATCGGGTTTGTTCGGTTTGGTTGATTTTGGTTCTATTAATTTCGGTTTGATTACTAAGGTTAATTCAATATTCGGTCAATTCTGATTCAAATACTTTCCTTTGAACTCAATAATTGATTTTTAGTATTTAGCTTAAAATAGGGTAATTTACTTCTTCAATTTTGAGCTTAATAGATTTAATTCTTTTACAAAGGGTAATATAAAGGTGATTTGATTTGATTTTTTTTTAAGGGAACAATTCATTTTGATTATGTCCAAATAGTACAAGTCAATTGCTGCATTTTTTGACTTCACAATTGAGAGAGGACTGACGGACTAGAATCTAATTATGAAGAACTGAGCCCGAATCTGAATTAACCCAAAGGGTGAACCGAATGGAACACAAAATAGATTATTTTTTAAGTTGTCAGACTTGTAGATTTAATAATAATTGCTTTTGAATTTGTTTAGAATTAGGAAACTAGTTTCCTACTTTTCATAGGTTTCCCTTGCTACACAAATTTGTGAGCTTGTATAAAACTATATAAATATGCTTATGATATCATAAAAAACTATAAGAACAAACTTGAATTTGACGTAACTCTAATCTTATCTCTATAACTGCTTTCATGGCTGAATGGAGTGATTTACCCGATAATATCCTTATAGAAATAGTGTTGAAACTAGATTCTGTCCAAGACTTAGTCTATTTTTCCTCTGTATGTCAATCATGGCAGTCCGCGTATTCTATGGCTAAAAAAACTTGGACTAGGACGATGCCATGGTTGATGCTACCCGAAAATACACAACATAACCCGAACAATTACCTCAGGAAAATATATTGTCCTAATATGCAAAGGTGTTACCAATTGAACCTCCCTCAAACTTATGGTGCTAGATGTTGGGGTTCGTCGTGTGGTTGGGTTGTAACACTTGATCTTAACCTAGAGATATATATGTTTAACCCGCTAACCAAAGCTCGAGTTCCTCTACCCTCTCAAACAACCATGTTCAATGACTATGAGGATGAAATAAACGATTATGTTTGGGCACGACAGTGTTTTGTGAACAAGATGATTGTCTTTGAAACCGATAATGAAAGAGATGACTACATTGTTATAGCATTACCTGGTGCGTTTCCAGGTTGTATAGCTTACTATGCAAGGCGTAGTGACAAAGCATGGACTTCAATTTTTAGTACACGCAAACTACAAGGATGGTTGTTGGATTGGGTGACGGATGTTGTGCGTTGGGGTCAAAAATTACTATTCTTGTATCAGGATGGAGCAATTGGATATTGTGACATGAGTGCACTTGAAAACTCAAAAATCGCGACAATTATGGAGTATTCGCCTATTCCTAAAGCGTACGACCCATGGCCCTGCATCAAACAACAATACTTGCTGGATGCATTCGGTGATCTTCTCATGGTAAGCAGACACAAAATAGATTATGAAGGAGTTGAGGATAATAGTGTGAATTATGATACATTACACTTTAAGGTCTATAGGTTCAAGTTTGACACAAATACTTGGGTACAAGTCAATGACTTGGGTGATGTTGCGTTATTTGTGGGGAATAACACTTCTATTCCTATTCGTGCATCACACATTAATAATTGCAAACGCAATTGTATTTACTTCACCGATGATGAGTTCCAATTTTGGAATTCTCTCACTCTTTTCGGGGGACATGATATGGGACTTTTCAACATGACAAATAATGAATTTGAAACCGTTTATGGAGGTGATGATATTCATTCAAGTTTTTGCCCTTCTTTATGGTTTATGCCTAAGTTTTAACTTGGGGACTAGCTCAATTAAACCTTTTTTATGTAGCTTGATTTATAGAGTATTTTTGATGGATGAGTACCAAATGTTCTTAAAAAGAAAACTCAATGTAATAATTATTTGATATATGGCATAATTTGGTTTCAATTGATGACCCTTTTAAGTAATCTTCTATGCTCTTAATCAGCTTTCTTGTCCTCTTAATTTCTACTACTTACCTCGTCCTGTCCTTGGCTCTTCTTGTCCACCTTATCAATTTCTTTATACTACGTAATTGACATTGATTTATGAGTTTACGCAGTAAAATAAATTCTTGCAAAGAGTAATGTAAAGAATTAATTTAGAATAGTTGTATCAATCAGATCTTAATTAAATTAGTACTAAAAAATTAAATTAGTTCTAAATTTTTTAAGTTTTAGTTATTTAAAGTCACAAACACAAAAATGTTTCAAAAAAAAAAAAAAAAAGGAATTCTGATTTGAATAACTAAAATCAAGTGAACATTCTTCAGTATAAAACACAGCTAGGCAGAGGCAGCAAGCATCGGTGAAGTTCACTCCCATCACTGTCACCAGGTAAATCACTCTTCATTTGTTAAGAACTGAACTCCAGATCTAACATTGAGGCCAACAGCAGTCCTGCATAGTGAAGTTGCTGATGCTTCCATATTTGTGTTCCGCAAAATCAATGCAGAAGAGCAGAAAGATCAACCAAAAAAGAACTCTGCTATATGGATCCAGCAGCTGAAATCAAATGATGACTTGTTCAGATAAGAGTATCAAAACCAAGAGTAGGCAGAACCCCTTTATAGGAATGAGGCCCATTATAAGTCGGCTTTGTCAGAATCCTTTGCATTACCCTGCCAGGAGAACAGCCAACCAAACAGCGATGAAAACTTGCTGTATGCAGGCATTGGCACAACATCCTTCACCGTGCAGATGGCCTGATAATCATCCTTCATATGAGGCTCAAGTATCCTTTCCTAAAAGACACAAAAGCAATTCGATGACTGAAAGGTGAGGTTTCTAACAAACAATAGCATACAAATAAACATTAATGCAGTAGTTACCTTGAAAACTTCAAATGGACAAAAGTCAGAGTTGACGCAGCCCTGTTCAAACAAGTCAACAGTATCAAATGTTGACAAAAATAAATAAAATACGGAGAAATCAGAAGATAAGAAAGACGGAAGCACAGAATTACAGCCTACAGTTTAATAAAACCATGAAGCAATTATGCACTCCCCCTCCATTTCTATTTACTAGCATCATAAGGTTGTACAAGGCTCTTAAGGAGAAAATTTTTTAAAAATAAATTTATTAGAAAAGAAGTAGAGAGAAAAGCGGGTGGGTCTGTGGATAAACTGCAGAAAAAGATGAGAGGACCAACATACCATATGACGAATTGACGATGTAGCAAATGAAAAGGGACCCAAAAAAAGGCAACATAAAGAAGGGGATACATAAGGAGCTGCATTGTTTTGGAGTCAAAATGTTGGAGGTGCAACACCAGAAAGTTTTGAGTAGCAAAAAGAAAAAAAAAAAAGCCTACACCCTCTACTGAGCAGCAGTTGAGTTTTCTATAGGCTTGGCTGCACTTAAATTAGTTTATTAGTATTAAATAGGCAAAAAGTAGCAATAGTGCATGCATAGCTTTAAAGACAGAAAGAGAACAAAGTCATTTCATTCCCCATATTTTTGCAAATGCTGAACAAATCCTTATTTGGCTAATATCCTACAATGTGCAACCCAATGTATACTTTAGCCACATCTAACTGAAGCTTACCGGTAAAGGTACTGGATGCTCATTATGCAGTACATGAACAAAATACTTGCTCTTTCTGGCAGGACAACTGTAAAGTACAAGCATGTTGTTCCCAGCAAATGGAGCCACGACACTACCTCTCCAAGTTCGCCTTTTGGGAGGCATAGGAGGGAGCTCCAATGGTGTTTCCTTAAGAATGAGATTATATTCTGTAAATTATTCAAAGAATAACATCAAGTAAGACCACCAGTCCACCACCAATATAATCAAAGAAAAATTTAGAGGTAAAAGGTAGGAAGCAGGGCAACAAGATCTTAAGATTATCTCACCAGATCCTTGAAGAAAGAGACCAAGAAGACATGAAAATGGAACCACAGTCTCAGCGTGAGCAAATCGAAGCCTTGCCTTCTCATAACTCCCAATGGGAAGAGCTTCTGCATGACAAATTTGAGCATATAAGTGAGGCTAGAGTAAGAATCTAAAACATCAACTATATTATATGTAGAAAATATGAACAGACATTATCACACAAGCAAGATTCCATATATAAAGGACATGAAAATGTGAGCTCTACAAGTTCATAATCCCCATAAGGTCCAAGGGAACCATTCCCACCACTCAGATTAACAAACAGGTTGTCATAGAAGTCTCAACTTTGTACATTAGACCATCAAAAGTTCCTGATTTCTCAACCTCTCCAAAAATGGCTAAACTAAAGCCTCGAGGCAACGTTCGGGTAAGTATCAACATTTTAGGTTACAAGCATTGGAGAGAGAATGTTTGAAGCAGTGACATGACACAAACAGGCATAACAAAGTGAATTTGATCATTATGTCTAAAAATCACAGAGAAAATGTACAATTGAGATAAAATCAACATTATGGCTAAAAGTTCAACATTGTCGATTCTAAGAATTAGACAATATTGCACCATTCAGAACTCAGAAGTAACCCCCCACCCACCCACACACACACACAAAAAAAAAAAAAGCAAAACCCACCATTGGGGAAAGAAACTTCACTAATTTTTGTTGAACATATTAAGCAGTGAAAATTGCTATGAATTACATAGGTTTGGACTGCATTTAAAAATTAAATGCAAGAATAAATTTAAGAGGAGTTTAATTGATTAGAAAAATGAATTACACCAATTACAAATGATATTCCCACTTTCGAGAAGTGGATTATCTCCCAAATTAGCTTAACAAAGCTAAAATCAAGATACTTAATCAATATTCAACATAATGGTCTCTTCCTAATTAGCTCTATTCATAGGATTTCCCTTCTAACAAACTGACTTCTTCTTCAAACTTTGTGACAATTAATTTATTACACAATACCTATACTACCCCAGAAGAGGATGCAACCAAAAAAAAAAAAAAAAAAACACAAACCACAATAAAATTATGTACCTTCATTAGCCTTGATAGCAAGCTCCATGGACTCAACTACATCTTTAAGCAAAGGCAATCCCATGCGGTAGTTCACAGATTTTCCATATCCTTTCAATACAAAGGCCTCCAGATCATCTGTCCACTCCAGCAGAGCAAGCTGCAAATAACAAAACATTGTTATAATAATTAAATAACTCCCCCCAAATCATTATATTATGTATTTAGGATATTTTATTTGCTGCCCTGCTAGATAGTGTATATATTTAAGGGTATTAATTCAGGTGTAAAAAAAAGCTCTCCTTTAATTAGTTATAATGAAAGGCATAACTACTTTACTCCAACCTTTCGCACCTTGAACAAAAAAAGGAAAGAGAGCTTATTCAATCCCCAAGAGAAGCAAGTAAGAAAAGGAAGGTCTAAAATTAATCATTTTATTTGATTAGGAAAAGTATTAATTAGAAAGTGAAATAAACTGAATACAGCAATCCTGAATTCATGCACAAAGGACTAAATATCAAGAGTGGGGGGGGGGGAAGGGAGTATAGAAGAGCTCTCCTAAAGTTTACATGCAGATGGTAAATCTGCATTCATACAGCACAGGTTAAGTTGCTAAAAGAGGAAGGAAAGCACAACAACATTAGCATATACCTTCTCACAATGTCAGCAAAATGTATATGTAGATGTATGTGGGTCTAATCCTTTTTGGTGCCACTTATAGTTCTAATACTCAATGGATCATTCACAAGAAAAAAACCATAGAAAATGAAGCAATAGAACCAAAGGGAGAACTACAAGTCCATGTACCTCAGTTGGATTAAAAAGACCACAAGCTTGATTAGTTATGTCTAGCAATGATGCTTCCTGCCATAACAAAAGCAATACGTCACACAATTAGAAAAACAGATATCTACTGTACATCTGATAAATCGTGATTTTGCATGAACACACACCTGCTTGCATAAAAACCAGAGAGAAGATATATCATGTCTGGTGAAATTTAATCCATAGCGTCCGATTAAGGCATGAGTGATTTCATTAAAAATAGGCTCCTTTATCTTCTCAACAGCAGGCTCCTCATTTTTCCTGTAGTTCTACAGCCATGTGGAGAGGAAGATAGTGGAGTGAGGTGAAAACGCACAACAATTTTAAGCACACAAACCAGAAGTGATCATATTACAAGATTTCAAGATGTCCACAGGCCAAGTACCATCAATATGAATGCTACGGGAACTTTGTAAGAACAACATATGAGAATTGAAAATATACATGGTAAAAGATCTACCAGCATGGAAAAAACACACACATTCAATAAAGAACATGGTGAGAAAAAAAACCCAACTTCAAGAAACAAAAAAACCTTATGCAGAGTATAAAACAAATAAAATATGGCTTCTATTTACAAGGATTGCATATTTAGTATACTCAAGATAGTTGCCATGCTGAATCATTAGGTGATGTGGACAAATATTTAAGTGACATGCTAAGACAAGTAAATCAAGCCAATTTGAGAAACAAACTGAGAAAATCCTTTTTTGAGGTAACTAAAAAAACGTCCTTGTATGTTCAACACAAAATAACATCTTCCAAAGTAAGAATTTATACATAACAACCAATCAATAATGCTTTAAATACCCACCTTATAGCTTTGGCAGGTATCAAAAAACCTCAGCAATAAGTCACTAGCACGACTTTCTGTACTAACAGCAAAAGCTCGTTGTTTTCCTGGCCCAAGGCTTCCTCTCTCACTGAAAAGCCCCATTGAAAAAGCCACAGCACTAGCAGATGCCCGAGGAACCTAAACCGTTTAGTAGAAAATAACATAACTAGCATCATAAGCCCTTGTTAAGAGATGGGATAGCATATCAGAAAGAAGACAGATAAGCACTGAAATGTAGTAATAACGGTATCTGTCATCCAACATCAAAAGGATTTAAAAAAAAAGGTGATCTAAAGTTGAAAAGGACCAAGTCACTACCTGAGTTGCTTTTATGGTATACACATCAGGGTGGTAATCATCATTTAATAGATTTGGATATTTTCCTCGAATCCTGATTCCAAGATCATAGAGTTCTTCTTCTCCCTTGACAATCAATTCTCCACCTGTTACCTTTCCCTTCCATGGAGATGTCCATTCAAATAGCCAAGCAGGAACATTATCCAAAGATAATTTGCGTTCTTTTGCATTTGCTATAAGTGCTTGCAGTGAAGTGGCTAGCCTATCCATTTCCCTAATTCGTTTCTTAGTAGGGGCTCTTGTTCCATGCCTTGCCTATGAATTTGATGTTGATTAGTTTTGAACAAATGACTAATACACTGTAAATATCTTTGCAGCTAACAAACATGAGTAAGAAAAAGCTCATGAGTACAAGAATTCGGTTAAAAAAAACCCATCAAAACAAGGGACATTCCAAGTTCATCTTTCACATCTCAAAATGACATCCCATACCCAAGTACCTTGCATATCAAACACATGCATTACTTTGGAACACGATTGGTACACTAAGCATTATTCAGGCCAAGACATGGAAAGTTGGAAACCCCCACAATCACAACTACCTAGACCAAAAATATGCACACATATCAACTATGCTACACCACAAAAATTTGAGCTCTTAATATTACCAACCCACATAATTCATTCAACATTTAAGAAGCAAGTTTTATAATTTTTGGGTAAATGATAACTTATGGTCTTATGGATATTTGGTAAAGTCTTAAGTGGTACCAAGACATGAGGTCGAATACCGTCTACATCACTTCACTACATGACTCTCTACACAACAAAATTATAAGTTCTGGCATACAACAATGTAAATATGTAATCTTTACTTCAATCAAATTTCATAAACAATAAATTCATACAAAATGTCTCCATTTCTATCCATGAGTAATAAATTGAAAACTAAAAGAAGAGATTACCACAAGATTGATATGCACAGGTGTACAATCATCAGTTTTATTAGAAGGTACAAATTCATTATCCACAATATCTTTTACAGCTCCATATCTGCATCCCAAATTAAAACCACATTATCAATCAAAACCACCCAAAAGTCAAAATTAGGGTTTATTTATCCCCAAAATAGAAAATTGAAAAACCTATGCAATAAAAAATCCAAAAAACATAGAGATCAAACCTAGTTACAGTAGAAAGATGCTGACGAACATCGTAAGGTTCATCAACGGTTGATCGAGCATAGGAAGAAGGTACAAGTAGTAGTATGAGAAGAGAGAGAATTGCATGTTGCATAAAAATGGCGGAATTATTTTCTTTCATCTTCGATTTTACTTTATCATTCACTTTCATTTCTCTGTTTTTGGGAAGATTTCTGGATTTTCTCTCACCTATTTTGATTTTTATAGTGTGGGAAAGACGAAGATTTGTCGACGTGTGTTACCGTGAACGTTGACAACCCATAGGGAAGGTACATGTGGCATGAGTAAAAAGTTGGTTAGTGAAACATACTTTTAAGGCTCGACTGCTCGAGTATGATCATGATTGGATCCGAAATCGACTCGAAAAATATACGATTTAAATTTTGACTCGCGTGAATACATTATTTTAGTGTAACTTAATTTTAAAAATTGATTTGAATCAATTTTACTAAATCCGATCCGAACACTTGAATTGACACCTCTAGACTCTGGTCATATTTATTAATTGTTTTGAGTTGGGGTTGAGTTTAGTACAGGTTACTTAGATTTTTGTTCAAGAGATATGCGGATTAGGTTTAAACTAGTGTGTACACATAGTGGGTAATTTCAAAAGTAAATCTGTCACAAGTAATTACTAAATCGAATTAAATTTAGACTTCTGGTTAATCTTTAGTCTATAACACTTTGTTTAATGTGAGGGTCTGTTCTCATTGACTGAACTCAGCTGAACTGAACTGAACTGAGCTGAACTAAACTAAACTGAACTGAACTGAAATTAATATTTTATAAGAGAAGGAAATTAGGAGCTGAACTGAACTAAACTGAACTTAGCTGAACTGAACTGAACTTAGCTGAATTGAATTTCAACGTAAGAGAACAGGCCCTGAGTTATCAAACTCACTTCAAAAAGATGTAATAATCATTACATGCTACGTATATGAGTAGTATTCTCATTTAAAATATACGGAGTGCTATTAACTATATATAGTTTCAAAAGTAAGAAAGTGTAAGTTAATTAATTATATTATAATTTCTCCACATCTAGAGTTGTAATTAAAAGTTAAATATAATACGGAGTAATTTTTAGAGTTAATTTCATAAATAGTGATGAAAGTATGACCTCAAAGACATAAATTTAGCAAATACTATTTGAAAACTTTTTTATATCATGCTTTTAAAATCTAACAGTTACTAGATTACTCTATTTCTTAGCAATTTAGACCATAATGCTAACAAAGATCGACTCCAAAATTATTTTCTATTGCATGAAACAAAATACTCAAAGAAGTAATCCATGTAATTTGCTTATTACATCTTTACTTAGCTTAATATCAATTCAATTAGTACTGTAGTTGCATCATTAACTTTTTTTTTAGATAAAAACTTATTGGTATGAAATCTAAATTGTATAATATTGTTGAGAAGGAGCACTATAGTCTTGTTATTTGTCCAAGATAAATGGGTTTTCTAAGATAATGTTTAAATTTTAGGCTTTTTAAAATAAGGGCCCTAGGCGATCGCACTCCTTCAATTAATTAATTGTTTTTTGTTTTACAAACTTTAGCTACCAATAAGAAATATGATACATAAAAACCGGATATAAGCTACTTTATTGCTACAAAGAGTTACATGTCAAGAAGTGATTGTTCTAATATGCTTATAACATCTTTACTTACCTCACTAACAATTTCAATTTATATTGTATCACTAACTTTGTTTTTTAATCCGAAAGCTCATAGGTATATAATCTATGATGCATAATAGCGTGAGAGAAATAATAATTTTCTCATTATTTGTCCAAAACATATGAGTTTTCTAAACCATTGTCTAAAATTTAGACTCTTTAAGACAACGATCCTGTGCTATTGGTCTGCTACACTTAAATAACTTTTTTTTTTTTGCTTTTACAAACTTTAGCTAGCAACAAGAAAATTTAATACACGCAAAGTCACAAACCAATTTATGCTCCTCCATTGCTAGTTGCTACAAAGATGTTTAAATGGTAAATACACCATGCTTAACATTACTATTGCATCACTTATCAATTATCACCCTAATCCATTTAATTTGTTATAAATACTTCGTACTCCGTAAAAAGTTGAAATGATATCAATAATTCACGATTAATGTACTTAAAATCATGACAATCATACTCTCCCTATCTAAAATTTAGTCATTTTAGTATCGTAAACTAATCGAGTTTATCGGCGACTAAATCCGGGTTAAGGAAGACTAGTAAAAATGTTGTAAACCCTTCGTTGATTCATTGACACCGACAACCCCACAAAGTCCACAACACCTCATCTTCCTCCCTTTGTCTTATCGGCGAACTTCACGAATTCGTCGCTCTTCTCAAATTAATCCACACTTTTCTCTCTCCTTTGACAAAGCTTGAGATCTCATCACTGAAGAACGTAAATCCCTATTCTATACCATTGACTTCAATTCAATTTTCTGATTTCAGGTAATTTTCATTTTCATTGTCCCCAATTTTATTTTTTTAGCGATTTTTTCAATTAAACTTTTTAGGGCAAATTTTACATATTTATACTTGGATTGGACCTAGTTTGAACTTACTATAGTATTTTGAGAGAAGTAAGTGAACAATAAATTTGATTTGATGATGAATTTTTTTTTTAATTTTAAAATTTAATAAGCTCGGTTTTATCAGATGGGAACCCTAGTTTAGTATTACTGCACCATTTCACAGAATTTGTGTTATTTGATATTCAGTATAAAATTAAGGAGTTAGTATAACCGAAAATGACTGGTATTGGACTAAAATTCAAATGATATGAGTAATTAAAGAATGCTGAAATATACAACGCTTAAATCTTGCATGATCAACTCATACTGGTGTGGTGTATGATAGCCAGAGTGTACAAACCTATCTATCTGTTCTAGTCTTTGGGTGTTGGAAGAGAGGTTTGCATTTCTATCAATTGCAGTATTAAGACTCAATTTGGAGGAATCTAACATGTATCGAGATCGCTTATTAGTTATTACAATGACATTCAGTGTTGGGTGTAGATATATTTCCTTGCACCTCTGACTTTGCGGTATTACACACTTATAGTTGCGGCATTTGTCTATTGGTTGATGCAGAAGCACCTATTCAATGAGAAACTTGAATGAGTTTCAAGGATTCTGGGGCTCAGTGGCTCGGAAGGCTAAAGCGGTCCTTGATGATGATGTTCCGCCTGAACAAGCTGAAGTCCCTAGGGCAGCTCGTAGGTACGAAGATAATGTTGCTTACGGACAGCAGGTGAGAATGGCATGTTTTGATTGTGGACTGGACCATGATAAACATTTTGTTCTCAATTTATCTTCTTTACAACCCTTTTGATTACTTATACCCGCGGAGCAATAAGGAAACGAAGTAATCCTGTGTAAACGCACTCGAGAGGAGGACAATTATCCTGGAATGATAGTTTGACCTGTGAGGAAAAGTAGGGATATAAAAGATTTTTATGTAATATATAAATACCCATAACTGAGTATTTTGCTGCTTGATCTCGAATCTTATATAAATGGTCAGGTGCCAGATGGTATAATTCCGTTTTTGTTTAATGTTTGCTGCTGCATTGATATACCATTCTGATAGTACTTTCATTATTTAAGCTCTCTGATTGCAGGATGGCCATCAATTTCAATCCGAGCAGGGTCGCAAAAAACCAGATAAAGCTGTCTTACGGAAGGGATTTGGTGCTATTGCTTCTTCATTTAATTATCTTGGCAATGCCTTAGAGGTAAGATTGATGTAATAGTACCATAATGTTAAAAGTATTTTATAAAGCACTCTGCAGTGAATTTGCTCCATTTTGTGCTATGTTTTAGGCTTTTTTTTTACCAATCCTCGTGTGGCTTAGACACTTAGTGTTATTTATTATATCCTTGGATTTTATCTCAATAGATTGAATCCTTGAGGAGAACTTTCTGTGCCGTTCTTCTTTATGCAAATCCCATCATGCTGTTGATATTCATTAAGGTTACGTAATTGGATTATCTGAAAGGTCTTTTAAGAGAATTTTTTCCTGCAAAGTGCTATGAAAGGTCCATTTACGACCCATAGCCATCTAAAAGTACAAAGATGTGCCATCAACTATAGCTACCATGAGAAAACCCGCACTGCCTAAAATTGTAATTATTTAAAAACACAAACACAGTTTACAAGACTGATGCCCGGTCTTGATGGTGGTAATTAGTGAGTTAAGTCAGTTAATGAATGGTTGTAGTGGGCGTGTCACTTGAAGAACCCCTCTGGTAAACTGAACTCAGAATACAGATGCTCATGTGAGGAACCTAGAGATCTCAATTCAGGTAAACAGGTCGGGTTTTGGTCGGGTAAGAGTGGGTCGGGTTTTGGTCGAGTAAGAGTGGGTCGGGTCAGGTCAACTCGGATTAATTCCATAACCTATGCGGGTTGGGTTTGGGTTGGGTCATGCTTGAGTCTAGTCACGTCGGGTCATGCTTCTTATCGGGTTTAGGTCGGGTTACATTCGGGTCGGGTGAACAATAGTTCGGGTTTTCACGGGTTAAAACGGGTTAGGGTAATTTTCGGGTTCGAGTCGGGTTCGGTTCAAGTCAATAGTTTGCGGGTAAGAATCAAGTCGGGTCATTCTCGAGTTTGAGTCGGATTCGGTTAAAGTCAATAAGTTGCGGGTTATAATCAAGTCGGGTCATATTCAGGTTCAAGTTGGGTTAGATTTAAGTCAATAATTTGCGGGTTATAATCTGGTTGGGTCATTTCCAAGTCGGGTCATTCTCGGATTCAAGTCGAGTTATGTTCAAGTCAATAATTTGCAGGTTATAATAAGGTCGGGTCATTTCCAAGTCAGGTCATATTCGGGTTTAACTAAGGGGCCGTTTGGTTAGGGGTATTCAGGAAAGGGAATGAGAATCAATCAACCCGATTCCTTTTATTGTTGTTTGTTAAGCACTTTCTTTCATTCCCTTTACCCCCTTCATTCCCCCAAATCCCTCTAACTCCATTCCCCACCCCCCCAGGTCCATTCCATTCCCTACCCACCTTCACATCACCACCTCACCACCTTCACACCTACCAACACCACCAGAAACCAGCCACCTTACCACCGCCGACACTACCCCGACCACCGCCCCCTCCCCCGACCACCGCTGCCCCTCCCCCGACCCTGCCCTCTCTTACCCCGCAAAACATCCCACAGCCCCCGCAAAACCCCTCCCAATCCCCGTAAAACTGCCGCCCAACCCTCCCACCACCATCGTCGACCCTTCCCCGAGCCTCGCCGCCTGTCCCCTTCCCCGCAAAAGCATTCCTCTGCCACTTCCTAAACCCCTCGTCGATCTAGGGTTTTTTCGATTAGGGTTTTTTCGGGGCTGTGGAAGGTTTTGCGAGGGGCGGGGATGGCCGGAGAAGGGAGGCGAAGGGTGAGGGAGGTGCGGCGACTGGTTTGGTGGTGGTTCGGTGGTGGGAACGTTAGAGAATTAATGTTACTGGTGGTTGTGTGGTGGTGGGACAGGTGAGTCTCATTCCCTTTGTTTTTAAAAGAAACACCACCCCAAATTTTAGGTATTTTCATTCCATTCCTTCTCTTTCCCTTTGTTCATTCCATTTCCGATTACCTCGTGCGAACCAAATTGCCCCTAAGTATAAATAGATAATTTTCATTTTTATCAAGCTAATTATTTCCTATGACTAATATATATGGCAATATACTGGGAACTATAGTCTATAATTTAGGAAGATAATTATCTTCTTTGACCATACAACAAATATATACTATATTTAACTCTAAATTTGAGGATGATGCTCCTTTCTTTTGCTGGCGTGGACCGACTTGGTCTCCCTAGACAAAATGCTTTGATCAACAATAATAAGGTGGTCCGAATTGCATTTAAGGTGATTTGAAATCGGGTTGAATTTAGGTCGGGTCAATAACAAGTCGTGTTAATTTCGGGTCGGGTTTTTAACATGTTGGGTTAAATTCGAGTCGGGTTAGGAACGGGTCAAGTTGAATTCAGGTCAGGTTAGTAACAAGTCGGGTCAAATTCGGGTTTTGACAGGTTAAAACGGGTTTGGGTCAATTTCGGTTCAAGTCGGGTTCGGTGTAAGTCAATTAAATTGGCTGTTGCAGGTAATCGATGCAAGTTGTAAACCGGTAAATTGGCCGTTTAAAGGCAAAAATGATGGTTCCACCTACCCAATTGGACTCCCGGAGGGTATTAGGGATTATGATAAACACTTTGGCAATTTTTATTCTGGGCGAAAAAAAGTCTAAAAATTTCCAAAATTGAAGGCTAATGTCCACGTTTTTTGAGAAATTTTGGAGGTTTCGGAACCCGGTGTCGAAAAGTCTTGAAATTCTATGGGATACATCTCGGGATCATATAATGTCGTTTGGAACCATATATGATGATTATATGTTGTCATTAGAGCTGGTTATTGGGCGGGTCAGGGTCGGTGCGGGTCGGTTGCGGGTCAGGGTCAAAGAGGGTCACATTTTATAGGGTCAATATAGGGTCGGGCCAATGCGGGTTGCGGGTCGATAATGGGCGGGCCTACAAAATATCAATTAAAATATATATTGGACAAAGCCATGATTAAATATATATGAATACAAATTAATCTATATAATTATTTTTACATTATGTATTTTATTTATCAACTAAATTGGAAAAACATGTTGGCCCTATATTGACCCTACCCAATAAGGGCCCTGTCCATTAATAGCCCTGTCCATTAAAAGCCCTATGAGCTTGGCCCTGACCCTATTATCATTGGGCTACCCTGTCCAATAACCACCTCTAGTTGTCATAGATGTTCGTGGTCGGCTTGAGTTAATGAAATCGGTGCAAGTTGTAAACCGGTAAATTGGTCGTTTAATGGCAACTTGGATGGTTCCACTCACCCAATTGGACTCCCGGAGGGTATTAGGGACCATGGTAAACATTTCGGCAATTTTTTTTTTCCGGGAGAAAAAAAAAGTCATAAAATTCCAAAATTGAACGTTAATATCCACGCTTTTGGAAAAATTTTGTAGGTTTCAGGGTCCGGTGTCGAAAAGACTTTAGATTTTAGGTGATACCTCTCAGGGTCATATAATTCCGTTTTAAACCATATATGATCATTATTGTCATAAATGTTCGTGGTAAACTTGATTTAATGAAATCGGTGCAAGTATTAACCAGTAAATTGACTTTTTAAAGGCAAATTGGATGGTTACATCCATCCAATTGGACTCCTGGAGGGTATTAGGGACCATGGTAAAAATTTCGGCAATTTTCATTCTTGGGCTATAAAAAGTAAAAAAAAATCCAAAATTGAAGGCTAATTGTCCACGCTTTTTCAGAAATTTTGGAAGTTTCAAGGCCCAGTGTCGAAAAGCCTTGAAATTTTAGGGGATACATCTCGAGGTCATATAATGCCGTTTGGAACCATATATAATCATTATATATTGTCATAAATATTCATGGAAGGCTTGATTTAATGAAATCTGTGCAAGTTGTAAACCGGTAATTGGCCGTTTAAAGGCAAATTGGATGGTTATACCTAGGAATGGCAACAGATCGGATTCGGGTCGGATGTGGCTAAATCCGAATCCGATCCGTTAAGTAAATGGACCCTGGCTCGGATCCGAATCTGAAAAATCCGAGTCCGAATCCGATCCGACTCGTAATTTTCGAATCCGAATCCGATCCGTTTATACGGACCTCCGAAATGATCCGATTTTTTTTTTTTTTTTGTAATGTCATATACTTATAATTGCTTGTATTGTCATACCAATTAAAGTATTGACATAACATATTTAAATTATAAACTAAGTTACATAACAAAATTTTGCTACAAAACAAGCAAATAAATGTCGCAAGTTAAAGAGCATATGCTTATACTCTCGGATTCGGACTCCGTCGAACTTTGCGTAGGGTCCAAGTCCGATCCACCTCCTATTTGGATTTGGATTCATTTTATCGGATTCGGACTAATTTTAAACGAAATTGAATCGGATTTTTTCCTTTCGATCGGATCGGATTCGAATCGAACTCGGATTAAATTGCCATCCCTAGTTACACCCACCCAATTGGACTCCCGGAGGGTATTAGGGACCATGGTAAACATTTAGGCAATTTTTATTTTCGGGCAAAAAAAAGTCTAAAAATTCCAAAATTAAAGGCTGCCACGCTTTTTTGGGGAAATTTTGGAGGTTTTAAGGCTCGGTGTCTAAAAGCTTTGAAATTTTAGGGGATACATTCGGGGTTATATAATGTCGTTTGGAACCATATATGATCATTATATGTTGTCATAAATGTTCGTGGTAGACTTGAATCAATGAATTCGGAGCAAGTTTTAAATCGGTAAATTGGTCGTTTAAAGGTAAATTGGATGGTTCCACCTAACCAATTGGACTCCCAGAAGGTATTAGGGACCATGGTAAACATTTCGTTAATTTTTATTTCTGGCAGAAAAAAAGTCAAAAAGTTCCAAAATTGAAGGCTAATATCCTCGCTTTTTGAGAAATTTCTAAGGTTTCGGGGCCCGGTGTTGAAAAGACTTGAGATTTTAGGGAATACATCTTAGGGTCATATGATGTCGTTTGGAACCATATATAATAATTATTTGGTGTCATAAATGTTCGTGGAAGACTTGAGTTAAAGAAAACGTTGCAAGTTGTTAATCGGTAAATTGGCCGTTTAAAGGAAAATTGAATGGTTCTACCCACCTAATTGGGCTATCAGAGGGTATTAGTGACCATGGCATTCATTTTGGCAATTTTTATTTTCGGGCGAAAATAAATCAAAAAATTACAAAATTGAAGGCTAATATCCACGCTTTTTTAGAAATTTTTGAGGTTTCGGGTGTCCAAAAAACTTTGAGATATTAGGGGATACATCTCGGGGTCATATAATACTGTTTTAAACGATAAATGATCATTATATTTTGTCATAAATGTTCGTGGTAGGCTTGAGTTAATGAAATCAGTGCAAGTTGTAGACCTGTAAATTGGCCGTTTATAGACAAATTTGATGGTTCCACTCACCCAATTGGACTCCCAAAGGATATTAGGGACCATGGTAGACATTTCTGCAATTTTTATTTTGGGTGAAAAATAGTTAAAAAATTCCAAAATTGAAGATAATTTTTGAGAAATTTTGGAGGTTTCGGACCCAGTAGAAAAGTCTTGAAATTCTAGTGGATATATTTCGGGGTCATATAATGCCGTTTGGAACCATATATGATCATTATTTGTTGTCATAAATGTTCGTGGTAGACTTTAGTTAATGAACTCGGTTTGAAACGGTAAATTGGTCGTTTAAAGGCAAATTAGATGGTTCCACCCACCTAATTGGACTTCCGTTGGGTATAAGGAACCATGGTTAACATTTCGGCAATTTTTATTTTTGGGCGAAAAAAAGTAAAAAAAATCCAAAATTGAAGGTGGTGTCAAATCCACGCTTTTTGAGAAATTTTGGAGGTGGCGTCAAAAATATTTAAAATCTTTGGGGATACATCTCGGAGTCATATAATGTCGTTTGGAACCATATATGATATTATATGTTGTCTTAAATGTTTGTGATAGGATTGATTTAATGAAATCAGTGCAAATTGTAAATCGATAAATTGGCCGTCTAAAGTCAAATTGGATGGTTCCACTCACCCATTTAGAATCCCGAAGTGTATTAAGGACCATGGTAAACTTTTTGGCAATTTTTATTTCCGTGTGAAAAAAGGCTAAAAAATAAAAAAATTTAAGACTAATCTATGCATTTTGCGAATATTGAAGGTTTCAAGTCTCGGTGTCGAAAAGTCTTGAAATACTAGGCAATAAATCTCGAGGTCATATAATGCCGTTTGGAACCATATATGATCATTATATGTTGTCATAAATGTTCATGGTAGGCTTGAGTTTATGAAATCGGTTCAAGTTGTAAACCTGTAAATTGGCCGTTTAAAGGCTAATTGGATGGTTCCACCCACCCAATTGGACTCCAGGAGGGTATTAGGGAACATGCTAAACATTTCGGCAATTTTTTTTACGGGCGAAAAAAAGTCAAAAAAATTCCAAAACTAAAGGCTAATGTCTACGCTATTTGAGATATATTGGAGGTTTCGGGGCTCGGTGTCAAAAAGTCTTGAGATTTAAGGGGATATATCTCGGGGTCATAATGCCGTTTGGAACCATATATGATCATTATATGTTGTCATAAATGTTCGTGGTAGACTGGAAATCGGTGCAAGTTATAAATCAGTAAATCAACCGTTTAAATGAAAATTGGATGGTTCCACCCACCTAATGAGACTTCCGGAGTGAATTAGGGACCATGGTAAACGTTTCGGCCATTTTTATTTGCGATGGAAAAAAGTCAAAAAATTCCAAAATTGATGGCTAAATATCCACGTTTTTTTAAAAAATTTGGAGGTTTCGGGGCCCTTTGTCATTAACCCTTGAGATTCTAGGGGATATATCTTAGGGTCATATAATGCCGTTTGGAACCATATATGATCATTATATGTTGTCATAAATGTTCGTAGTAGGCTTGAATTAATGAAATCGGTAAGAGTTGTAAATCGGTAAATTAGTCGTTTAAAGGCAAATTTGATGGTTTTACCTACCAATTTGGACTCTAGCAGGGTATTAGGGATCATGGTAAACATTTCGGCAATTTTTATTTGCAGGCGATAAAAAGTCAAAAATATTAAAAAAATAAAGGCTAGTATATACGCTTTTTGAGAAATTTCAAAGTTTTCGAGGCCCGGTGTCTAAATGTCTTGAAATTATGGGGAATACATCTCTAGTTCATATAATGTCGTTTAGAACCATATATGATCATTATTTGTTGTCAGAAATGTTCGTGATAGACTTGATTTAATGAAATCTGTGCAAGTTGTAAACCGGTAAATTGGCCGTTTAAAGGGAAATTGGATGGTTCCACCCACCAAATTGGTCTCCCGGAGGCTATTAGGGAGCATGGTAAACATTTCAGCAATTTTTTTTTCGGGCGAAAAAAATCAAAAAATTCCAAAATTAAAGGCTAATATCCACTCTTTTTGAGAAATTATGGAGGTTCCGGTGTCGGAAAGACTTGAGATTTTAGGAGATACATCTCGGGGTCATATAATGTCGTTTGAAACCATATATGATCATTATATGTTGTCATAAATGTTTGTGGTAGGATTGAAATAATGATATCGGTGTAAATTGTAAATCGGTAAATTGGCCGTTTAAAGGCAAATTGGATGGTTCCACCCACCCAATTGGACTCCTAGAGGGTATTAGGGACCATGGTAAACATTTCGGCAATATTTATTTTGGGGTAAAAAAAATCAAAAAATTCCAAAATTGAAAACTAATATCCACAATTTTTGAGAAATTTTGGAGGTTTTGTGGCCCGGGGTCGAAAAGTCTTGAAATTCTAGGGGATATATCTCGGGGTCCTATAATGAATTTTGGAACAATATATGATCATAATTTGTTGTTATAAAAGTTCGTGGTAGGCTTGAGCTAATGAAATCAGAAGTTGTGAATCGGTAAATTTGTTGTTTAAAGGCAAATTGGATGGTTCCCCCACCCAATTGGACTTTTGGAGGGTATAAGTTACCATGGTAAACATTTCGGCAATTTTATTTTCGTGCGAACAAAAGTTAAAAATTCAAAAATTGAAATCCATGCGTTTTGAGAAAATTGGGATGTTTGAAGGCCCAGTGTCAAAAAATATTGAGATTTTATGGGATACATCTCGGGGTCATATAATGCCGTTTGGAACCATATATGATCATTATATGTTGTCATAAATATTCGTAGTAGGCTTGAGTTAATTAAATCAGTGCAAATTGTAAACCGGTAAATTGACCGTTTAAAGGCAATAGGATGGTTCCACCCGCCAAAGTGGACTCTCGGAAGGTATTAGGGATCATGGTAAACATTTCGGCAATTTTTATTTCCGGGCGAAAAAAAGTGAAAAAAAAATCCAAAATTGAAGGCTAATATCTATGTTTTTTGAGAATTTTTGGAGTCTTCGGAGCCCAGTTTCGAAAAGTTTTGAAATTTTAGGGAATAAATCTCGGGGTCATATAATGTTGTTTGGAACCATATATGATCATTATTTGTTTTCATAAATGGACGTGGTAGGCTTGAATTAATGAAATCGGTGCAAGTTGTAAACCGTTAAATTTGTCGTTTAAAGGCAAATTGGATAGTTCCACCCACCCAATTGGACTCCCGGAGGGTATTAGGAACCATGGTAAACATTTCGCTTATTTTTATATTCGGGCGAAAAAAGTCAAAAAATTCCAAAATTGAAGGCAAATATTCACGCTTTTTGGGGAATTTCGATCTTTCGGGGCCCGGTGTCGATAAGCATCGAGATTTTAGGGGATACACGTCGAGGTCATATAATGCCGTTTGGAACCATAAATGATCATTATATGTTGTCATAAATGTTCGTGGTAGGCTTGAGTTAGTGAAATCGGTGCAAGTTGTAAATTGGTAAATTGGTCGTTTAAAGGCAAATTGGATGGTTCCACCCAGCCAATTGGACTCCCGGAAGGTATTAGGGATCATGGGAAACATTTCTGCAATTTTGATTTCCGGGTTAAAAAAAGTCAAAAAAATTCCAAAATTGAAGGCTAATATTCACGCTTCTTGAGAAATTTGGAGGTTTAGCTGTCAATTAGGGTAAACGGGTCGGGTTTAGGTCGGTAAGAGTGGGCCGGGTCAATACGAGTCGTGACAATTCAGATTAATTCCATAACTTAGGCTGGGCCTTGCTTTAGTAATTCTCGTGTCACGTTAGGTCATAGTTTGGGTCATGTCGTGTCATAGTTCTTATCGGGTTTGGGTCAGGTTAATAACAGGTCGGGTTAATAACAGGTCGGGTTTAATTCTCGGGTTAGGGTAATTCTCGGGTTCGATTCGGGTTCGGTTCAAGTCAATAATTTGCGGGTTAGAATTAGGTCGGGTCATTCTCGGGTTTGAGTCGGGTTCGGTTCAAGTCAATAATTTACAGGTTATAACCAGGTCGGGTCATTTTCAAGTCAGGTTAGTCTCGGGTTCGGTTCAAGTCAATAATTTGCTGGTTATAATTAGGTTGGGTCATTCTCGGATTTAAATTGGGTTAGGTGCAAGTTCATAATTTCTACACTCCCCCCCCCCCACCCAAAACTTTTATGGTTTTATGATAGGTTTTAAAATGCTTTTTACCCCTTGGTTGCTAAATTTGCTTCTAAGGTATCATTTTTGCATGTTGCTTGCAATTGTACATATTGAGCAATAATTATACTACTGATGTATGTACTGCGCTGATGTTCAGGAAGGGCTTAACATTGTGGAGAACCGCACTGCAGACATTATCCAAGACACTCGAAATCGAAGATACGCCAGGAAAAAATCAGCCCCTGACTTCAACCAACAGCCCACAGATGCTGGATCTGTGAAGGAGCCGTCTGGAACACAGAACCATGTGTCCTCAGTGGCTCAAACTGAGTTGAACATCCAATTGCAGGCATCTCGCGACGTAAGGTGGCCACTTTTTGATCACTGGTCATATAGTAAATAACTAATATAAAGGAATTTGCTATGTTCTGTTTCTCTAGAGCTCTCTTAAATGCTGTGCTGCACTTCTCATTTTTTTTTATTGGATTTCATTTACCCTTAGATTTGGATAAAGGAGGGCAGAAGGCTTTTATAAACTCTAATTAGTATATATAATTATATATACTTTGTAAGTATGATGTCTCAGATCTTATGTTTTAGTCCTTTAGTACTAAACTTAAAGTTATGTTATGTGTCATGTATCATGTGTCATATACTCTATCCTTCGGTTCTTACTGGATTGCTTGCGTTTATGGATTAATTATGATGGATACGTTTTTGGTGCATTCAGGTTGCTATGGCCATGGCTGCCAAAACAAAGTTGCTTCTTAGAGAGCTAAAGACTTTCAAAGCTGACCTTGCATTTGCCAAGGAGCGGTGTGCTCAGCTAGAGGAAGAAAACAGGATTCTTCGAGAGAGTTTGGAGAATGGGGACAACCCAGAAGATGATGAATTGGTGCACTTCTGAACTTATACCCATACAATCAAAGTATCTTCCTACATGATTATCAGTCAGATTATTTGACCTTTTGATTTTCATTACAGATACGACTCCAATTGGAATCTCTTTTGGCAGAGAAGGCTCGGTTGGCTCAAGAGAATGCTTTCTATGCTCGTGAGAATCGCTTCTTACGCGAGGTTGTTGAATATCATCAGCTGACCATGCAGGATGTTGTCTATTTAAATGAGAGGAGTGAAGAAATAATGGAGGTTTACCCTGCCAAGGTACCAAGTGGAACCAATCTGAACACAATAGCTACATTGCCATCTTTATCACCACCTGTTCACGCTTCTGAGCTTGTATTAAAAGAAAACGCAACTTCTAAATGAGGCACAAGTGAGCCCTGTTGTCATTCATAGTTAGTTTGTTAGTCCCCCCACCTCTTATTTTCTTTTGGTCTGGTTCACAGTAGGCTCGTATTGGATCCCTGTCTTAGGGTTCCGTCCACTTGTTTTCCTAGTCAGTGTCCTGGGTTACATTTATGATGAAGACTATAGATTTGGAGCAATTGTTTTCATGTGCTTCCTATAACTCTGTATATTCGTATCAATAATATCATACAGCTTTACCCAGCTACATACTTCATATTATTTTATGGCCTCGAACCACCACTTCCTTTCATCAACAATTGGCTACTACCTATCTTAATTTTTTTTTGGTAACCGTCTTTTTGTGAGGCGATGGAGCTATGTTTCTGAACTCGATCCTGATCTCTTAGACCACTTAGTCTCTAACTAGGAGGGATGTGGACATGTGGTGCCCTTCTTTGAGCCAAGAGGCTCCACATTACCATCCAATGTATCCCAGAGTCCATGACTCCCAGTGCAGCATAGCAAATACGTCGTTACATTATATTTTAATCTTTTGTTTAGGCTTATTTTCGTGCTTATTCATCTCGGTTTCAACCTTTCAGGTGTATTATTGTTTTCGCTTAATCTTTCTTACATTTGTGACAGTTAATTTACCTTCTGAAATGTTCAATCACTTAAGCACATGTTCACAACCATGTCCAGAATAGTTACATAACTATACCTTTGATTAAATCCAGAATAGTTACATAACTATACCTTTGATTAAGTTCCAAGATGAAAAAACTCATGCACTTATTGCAGTATTTTCTTTGCAATTTTCTCTAGCATCAGAGTACTTAAAACATTAAAAAGTATCTCAATTAGTTACATGTAAACCCAAAAAAAAAAAAAAAGTTCTACATTCTTCAAGAAGGCCAATTTCTATACCAACCAGCCCATGCAGAGACAAGACCACTAATCCCCAACGTCACAGCATGACAGCAAAACGGGTTTGGCTCAATCTCCGCCACCGCAATGATCAAGTCCGCCACATTCGCTGCCACCGCCATCAACCTCATCACTCGATCCCCCCTTATTTTCCCCACCCCTTCCTTCACCTCCTCTTCCTTCTTTTCACCCTCATCCAAACCCTTAAGTAGCAGTTTCTCCTTCTTCAGTCCTTCATGCATGAGAATGAAGTCTGACATTATGAAAAAAACATAACCAACTGACTCACCAAAAGCTGAAATGAAGCTCATTTTCTTAGCCAACTTTGCATCCAACACTCCAAGCCTTGACAACCAAGTAAAGTGGTCGAAAAAGAAGTAAACCATTTCCCCTGCATTCCCTAGCACGGCCAAGGTCTGGAGCCCACGGGTTGGGCCGGGGTTCCTCCGGATGGTGTTGAGCCCTGTCAAGGACCGGCCACTCCGAAAGGCCTTCCGACTCATGCCTGCAGCCACCTCCCATAGTTTGAACCGTTGGGCCAACTCGGGCTGTGTTGCCTCGAGGTGCCAATGGGCCAACTTGGAGACATATTGGTATGTCTTGACTAGCTTGTCTATGCCATCTCTTTTGGCTAAGAAGATGACTAGCTTATCTAAGGAATCATTGCTCATGGTTTGTTATTCTTCTCTCTTTATTGTGTGTTGGAGGGTACTTCAGAATCTTTGGCTAGTTGAGTTGGGATTATGGGGTTGTATTGTAAGTTTTGTACTTGGAAGCGAAATAGAAGCAGAGCCACAAAGTAGGTATTATTTGGGATAATGTAGAGGATTAATAAGGAACACATGTTTGGACCCTATTTTCCAAATTTTGGCTACCATAATATATTTGTTTTAGTTGCATAGATTTTGTCTCTTTGCATCGAAAGCAATCGAGTATTAGTCTAACTTTCATTAGAAACAAATCAAAGCCTTATGTAAGAAAACAAATCAAGATATACATTGATCCGAGTAAACGAAGCTTCATAAACAAGAGAATTAATCTATATATATAGATGCCATGACAAAGATTGAACATTAAGTTGTACGCATTTGACTGAACCAAAGCTATATCAGAAGCTGCACAACCACAACAAAAATTGAAATGCATACTCAATTCATTTAATTTTTTGTGAGATTCAGTGTGTTGCTTCCATTTACAAGTATTAATTTGTTCTTCGTAAGTAAAGGATGAACATAAATTCAAATTTATTATTGTTAAAATTTGTCCCATGTTTTAAACATATGGTTTCTAATTGAACCTTGTAGGTACTAACTAAAGTACTCCGTAATCACTATGTATAGATACCAGCATCATTTAAATAGTGAGAGAACAATGAATTAGTTATGGTGATGGTGCGTCAACGGTAAAAAATTACATGGTATGCTTGTTTCCGTATGGCCCATTTGAATATGTTTGGCTACATGTCAACTTTTTGTTGAGAGTCTTTACTTCTAATAAAAACAGTATAGCAGGTTGTTTGGGTCCAATTTAGTCCAATTGGGCTTAGGTATTAAATGATCCAATTAAAAGCCCAAGGTCAAGGTTCATCTCTCCAATTGTGCTAAAGTCAAAGATCAGCCCTCAAGGCAAGCCAATTGGGCTAAGGCCCAACTTCTCCATGTATGAAGAGGTATAAAAGCCATCAATATTACATTTTTACAGACATTCTGATTCATGCTCATTAATTCAAGCAAAGCCTCAAGCAACTAAATTCTCTTGCATAGTGTTCTCTTTCAACACATTGTACTGACTTTAGCATCGGAGGGGCCTTCCTCGGCAACACCCCCGAGGCTAGTTTACGTGTGTTTATTGTGCAGGAAACCTTCGGCCCAACATAACTTGGACCGAATCTAGTCTTCTCCGTTTCATCGGACCTTCGGCAAGGTCCCATTGTTTTCACCCGAAACAATTTGGCGCCGTCTGTGGGGAAGACTTTCAATAATCTTTAAGCCAAATTTCTAACCAAGATCATCTTGCAATTATCTTAGTAGCAATGGCTAAGAACCGCAAGAGCAAAGGCCTCCGTCAAGGAGCGGGCGAAAAGCCTAAAACCCCTACACCATCACCCTCGCCGGACCGGAACTCTCCCAAGGGTGCCAGCTCGGGGGGAGGATCATACAAGGAGGATTCCCTTTCTCCCGTAATTCATGACTCTCATCATAGGCCGAGTCACTCTCGGTCTAGCAGGGGTGAGTCCGATCATAGGACACATTCAGTGCCCCAAAGCCAACCATCGACTGTGCGCCCTCAATCCCATACTCGGCCGAGGACCCCTTTGACGGGGCCCAGCTCGGAGGAGGTGGCAAGAGCGCTGGCAGTGCTCATGGAGGCGATGAGGGCACAAAATATGCCACCACCTCGTGATCGAACTCCTCCGCATACCCGGCATCAGCGGAGGAAGCTAGACCATGATGGTGGGAAGCTTCCTTCCTTCCGGGAACTGGAAGAGTGGGAAGAGGATACCTGGAAAAATGAAAAAGAGAGGAAAAGGAACCCTCAATTTTTAAAAGGATCCTCATCCTCCCGACCAGAAACGCATAAGAGCAGCAGCTCAGCTTCTCGGCCAGAATCTACTCACTGAGAACCTGAGACTGTTCGCCGAAGCGTCCTCGACCGACTCGGCGGCAAGGAACCGAGCGTGCGCAGTCGCCTCTCGTTCCCTGCGGCCGAGGCCCAGACTTCCTCTCTAAGGACGAAAACCACTCCTACCTCTCTAAGAGGGCGGAGCGCGGTCCCTTCGGCTAGGAACAAGGGCAAGGCCGTTATGCTACCCGCCAGTTCGCCATTCGAGCAATGGATACTGGAAGAGCACGTGCCCACGGTTAAAATACCGTCGCACATCACATATGACGGGACCTCGGATCCGAAGGATCACGTGGCCTCGTATGAGACTCATATGCATCTTTGCCCCAGATCCGAAGCGACTTGTTGCAAATATTTCCCAACCACTCTCAAGGGGGTCGCGCAAGCGTGGATCTCCAAGGGAGTAAAGCAAGGCTCCATAACAGGGTGGGATGATCTGTCCTCCAAATTTAGGAGCAAGTTTTCCACGGCAAACCGCCGAGAGAAGACTACTGCAGAACTCATGAGTCTGCAACAGGGGGAAACTGAAAGCCTCCGAGACTATCTGACCCGTTTCAGTAACGAGTCATCCAGCGTCTCTCAGCTGGACCAGGGGCTAGCCGTTTTTGCAATGCAGAATGGCCTTCAGCCTGGGAAGTTTCTAGACTTCATGGTCATGCATACCCCGCAGACCTTGGAGGAAGCTCTGAATGCCTCGGATAAGTTCATCCGAGCCGAAGAATGGAACAAAGCGAAAACCCAACCTCAATTCGGGGGAGGGAAACAAAAACAAATACCCTTGTCTAAAGGCCAAGGCCATAAGGCAAAGGGAAAGTCAAAGGCCTCGGAGCAATCTTCGGCCAGCGACCCAAAAAAGGAAAAATCTGCCTCATACACAGGCAGATACGAATCCTACACTCCGCTCTCTCTTCCACGCGCCAAAATTTACAGCGTGACGAAGGAGGAGCAGAGTTACCGAAAGCCGAGACCACTCCCAAAGTGGTATCAGCGAAAAAATAAAAATCAGTGGTGCGAGTTTCACGAGTCTTCGGGACACAACACTGAGGAGTGTATCCAACTGAAGGACCAGATAGAGGACATGGTCCCGAAGGGATACTTGAAAAAATACATCGCGGATCACCGCGAGAAAAAAGAATCCGAGAAGTCAGCAAAGGACTCTCGGCAAGACCTCGACTTCCCCCGGAAGAACAGTAAAAAGCCGGAGGGGAAATTCCCTCCGATCAATGTTATCTCGGGAGGAATATACTCTCGGAGGGAGCACAAGCGACACCTTAGAGCTTTGACTCACCAGGTGAACAACGCTGACATTCAATCTCCCCAGTCGCCGATGCCGAACATGACGTTCACAACCGCCGACTGCCGGGGGATAACGTTCCCTCACGAGGATCCGTTGGTGATCATCGCCACGGTGGCCAACCACGACGTCAGTAAGGTCCTTGTTGACGGTGGCAGCGGAGCAAACATTCTGTTTCGAAAGGCCTACAATCAAATCAAGCTGAAGCCCAAGCACCTTACGCCGGTACCCTACCCGGTATCCGGGTTCAACGGGGCTTCAACTTATCCAGATGGGAAGGTGACACTTCCTATCACCATCGGCTGCGATGAGGCAGCCAGGAACGTCATGATTGAATTTTTGGTCATTGACGCTCCTTCAGTGTACAACGTGATTTTGGGGAGACCCATAATTCATGAGATCCAAGGGGTCGTCTCAACTTA